CTGTAGGAAACATTGTATCATACATGCTTTATGTGTCTGAGATCTCTATCTGTACTTCAAGCATTCATTCTTACCTTTCAAACATGTATAACGATGTTCTCCTGGTTTGAATTGCACGAGTTGACTCATAGATGGATTTGTCTAAACAGCATTTTTCCATGTGTCCCGGAGCTTTGTGTCATGTTAGAACCTCAGTTTTAAGCTACAATCCCTTTAGTCATCAAATATTGAATATTCAGTCTTACTAATAACTTGAGCCAGATCTATCTATCCAGAGTATATAGTTTATAATTAATAAGCAGTCCTTGCATTTGACTAATGCCTTTCTCTCTGAGGACCAGGTTGATCGTGTACTTTCAGCTGTAGATCATCACCAGGAAGTCAGAAAGGTTAGCTCTTACAGTTTCCACTTTGCAGACGAAGAGGAGCTACTCACAAGCAGCTGACTTCCTCAGAAAGGCAAAAAGGAATCCCAACTAAAAGAAATGCACAGGACACTGGCTGGGGCTTGCAAAAATCTGAACATTTTTCTCTAAGAAAAATTCAATGGTGCAAATTACATTAAGATAGCCTACTTTATAATAAAATTGTTGTGATCTCAGGATCAAATCAGACTGACTAAGCAACCTACCTGTGTGTCGCCTGATGGATGACTGAAGGAGAGCTCTGTCCATTTCCTGAATTCTTCTTTTCTTTGTTAGCTGATCAGGCAGAAGTTTTCTGTGCCCTCTCCTGGCTTGACTTTGAAACTGCATAACAGTGATATTATTTAAAATTCACTAGGTGGGTCTTTCCTTAGAGAAATTCATGCTTTCCCCTCCCTTTTTTTCTTTTGGACTAGGTAGAGACCAAGAGGGCCAATTATCTGGTGCCTGGATAAAAGTGGCTGGATTGGAGTGACTGGTTAGCTCAGTTGGTTAGAGGGTGGTGCTGCTAATACCAAGGTTGCCAATTCGATCCCTGCGTGGGCCACTGTGAGCTGTGCCCTCCTTAAAAGAGTCAACTATACCATTGTAGCATGAAAGCAATGTGTAACCAATGGCCATGTCTGTTCCCCAGTTAAAAAAAAACGTGGTTGGATTAATCAGGCTCTAGATGTCCATTCGACAAGCTGACAATAGAGACCAAACAACCATTTATTCTTAAATAGTACATATTCTTATTTTCTATATTCAAAAATGATGCTATTATTGGAGGGAACTCCATGTGAGTGTGTAAAATATACCCTGAGGCATTGCTGAGTGTGTGTGTTTATTGGTAAAATAAGTAAAAGAGTGGAGATTCAGACAAACTTCGATAAAAGTATTCTGAACATGCTCAGAAACATCTGTATTTTTCTTTAGGGCCAGGGAACAAGGAAGCTAAAGGTAAATGCCAGATGTCCCGTGGGGGCTGGAGTTGCTGCAAAACCGTTGCTGAGCCTGTGCAAGCACAGACAAGTTCAAAGTGTTGACTCTTGCGGAACCCTTGCGTCATGCTCTAGGCCAAAGGGAATCCAGGCAGACAGCTGAAATGTACATGGTGTTTTCCTCATACTCTTTGGCTGTCGCAGTTTTTTGGCTGAAATAGTCATCTCCCCAGAGCTGCTCTCCAGAGCTTCCAGAAGCTCTGTTTATTATATTACGTGTTTGTTATAGGGCACTGCCCTCAGAGGCTGGCTTAAAGGACGAAGCAGATATTGGAACTTACAGTTTGCTAGAATGGTGCTGTGGAACCTTTATTCTGTCATGGTGCACACAGAAAATGATCTAGTTTGTTATGTCCCACTGAGGTATACTGGGGGGTTGGGGGGTGCATTTTGGGGCATCAGTATTTGTTTCGGTAAAATAATCTACAATTTTCTACATGGTGTATAATTATGATTTGAAAGTATTAGACAGAGCACTGAATATTAAGCTGGGATATAAAAATTTCCAAATAAAGTATTTTCAAAATTTTAGCTTTCTTCAGTGAATATAACCTTTTTAAATATAAGGTCTTATGCTTGAAATGGCTATGTACAATAAGTGACCAGGACTTTTTAAGAAGTGTCTCTTCAAGTTCTTGATAGCCATAAATAATCAGAAACTCAAGTAGGTAATAAAAATGTTAAACATTTTCACATTAAAAAATTTACAAAAATTAAAATATTTAAAGGAATGTCTTATTTTTCTTTCACTAACAATTGTAGAATTGAAATGTCTTATGAGAACATTAATGGATTTTGAATCCAATCAAACTCTTTCCTAGCAAGCAAGCATTTTTAAATGCTCTGATTTAAAGCATATTCCTTCAGGGTTGCTCTCCCCTTGCTATGTCCTGGTCTTCACTGTTTATGTCTAGCTGGCATCTGTTCTGATTGGTCAATGTCTGTGACATCTCAGATGTTGAATATTTTTAATATCACCCTGCCCAGAATCATTGTTAAAGCAGTTATCCTGAAGTTAGCCTGGATACTGCTTGGACACCAGCCAAAACATGGACCGAAATATCTGATACTACGTGGAGACAGATTTGGGTCAGCCATCTGGGGCTCCTCTAGCCAGAACCCCCCAACCAGCCTCCCTGCCCCGACCAGTTGTACCTTGGGTTGTTGCTCCTCCCTGGGGACCCTGGAACCCGACTTCTCTAGCAGGGCCCCTGGCCCTCGTACGTGCTGTGCAGCAATGCGTTGGCAGCTGGCCTCTGAGGTGGATGTCCAGGTGGGAACACGTGACAAGCAGCAAATGCCACAGATCCTGCTGCCGACACGTGGGGATCGCAGGGCAGGATGTCAGACTCGGCTCTGCTTCCATCATCCTCTTCTTGGATGGCCCAGAGGTGGCTGGCCTAGCTGGCAGCCCCAAGGGCCATGGGATCTTTATATTGTGTCCCACCTGTTACCCAATTGCAATACACCGGTGTGCTATGACCGCTGGTTGGGATACTCTGTGGTAGAGGAAATAAAACATACAATGACAACACTCCCTGTTATTGATCGATGCGTGGTTTACAATGGTCGCTCACAGTGGGCCTCATTTAATCCTCCCAAGAGCAACCAGTAAGGACTATCATCCCATTTACAGAGTAGGAAACAGGTTCAAAAGGGAGGGTTGCTCAGGTGGACATGCTTCGTCCACACTTCCCTGACCGGGTACCTCAGGGATGTACACATTGGGGGGGCTGGGTTAAACCTAAGTTGTTGGAGTGACAGCTTTACTTGAAAGGTTTGGGGGACACTTTAACTGGCCAATAATATATTTTCATGCTAAAAGAGACATGTGTTATGAAATCGAATAACTGCACAAATGGGCAAGACCAAACATGCAACTTCAAAGAGACGCTGGGCCAAATGGAAGGCTACTTTGAACTATGCCCCTAGACCCGTGGGGATGGGGATGGCTTCGCTCTTCTGCCATTAATGATTGAGATACACTGATTTAACTTTTTTTTTTTCCTGATTTCAGATCCCATACTTATCCCAGATAGAAAATTGCTAAGGTTTTAAGAGTTTCAGAGAGAGTACTTTGAGCCGGGGCTTCAGCTCTGCATTGGGCCTGTAGAGACGGGAAGCAGGGAGACAGGATCCCAGGCACAGGATGAGGCACACGCAAAGTTAGGAGCCGAGAGAGCGGGGCTGTGGAAGGTGAGCAATGGCTGGGGGACAAGTACATGAAGACGCGTAATGGGAATTACAATGGTGGGCTGGCTTCAGGAAGTCTTCTCTGTCAGAGAAATCTATGTGATACTGGCAGTGGTGAGCCCAGTTGAAAAGCTAGAGGTGGCATGAACTGGAGTGGCAGCAGAGGAAAGGAGTGAGGGGCTTGCATGCAGGAAGCCACCGGGACTTCCCAAAGGATGGGGCAGAGGGCAGGATCCGAGAGGAGGTGGAAAGTTGCTGAACTTGCAGCCCACGGGAGGTGCTGTCAAAACACCCATGTGGGGACTTAGCAAACGAGGGGCTGAGCCCAGGGCTAGGTGGGATTTGGGTTGTGAATTAACTGCCTGTAGGTGAAAACTGTCACCTCGATATTGAAAGAGATCTCCATTAGAGAAGGAGAGCAGGACCACATCTGGTCAACGAGGCCACCTGAGGAAAGTTTATCCGGACGGAGCGTTCAGCAATAGTGAATGATGGAGAGAGGCTGGAGAATCGTCACATAGTGCTTGGCACATAGTAGGCACTCAAATATTTGTGAGAATAAAAGAAAAACCAGAAGTAAGAAAATGATACATTCGGGACAACGAATATGAAAGTAATAGTGGCAGAATCTGGGCATGGGGTGTTAAGAGGATAACCAAGAGATGGTTGCATTTGTTTCAGAAAAGGGTGGGGACCTACTTCCTACCCAGCCTTCCAGCACGGAATATCCCTTCTGGACCATTATAGGAACCGGCTTGGCCCTGCAGAGTGGAGGCTGGGGTGGTGTGGGATTTAATGAGTGACTTTCCAGTAAAGGTTACAAGGTAATGCCAACTGGGGCCTTTTCCAAACAATCTCAACTTCTAGAGATTAAAGCATATATCATACCACCAAATAGCTTACCTTACTTCATCACATCACTTCTTTTCTTTTTCTCCCCATGTGTCTTTTTTTCCCCCTTAGAAATAATGAGAACTGCAGATCAGTGGGCTCACCGCTGTCCATTTTAAAAGAAGTTTTTTTTAGAAAAACTCCCTGCTCCCTGAGAATCCCACCCAGCCAGACATTTCTCAATACATGATTTTTTTAAATGTCCAATTTCTCTCGCTTAGAGAAAGGTCTGTTCCCTTCCAATCTTTCGGGTTTTCATAACTGTTACTCTGAACACGAGAAACTACAAGGGCCTTGGGGGCGCAGATTCCCCTGGACAGTGAGGATGGGTCTGAGCCGGTAGCCCGCGCCCCGCTCTATTGTCTAGAGAAGCCAGAGGCCGAAGTCCACACAGAGGTGTGGGGAGAGCGCGGCTGGGTCCCGAGGGCCCCTCCCCCACCTTCGATCCCCCGAACACCCCTGCCCTTTGAGCCCAGGGCGGCTGGGGCGCTGGCACACGTGCCCTGGGCGCTGCGGGGACCAGCCTGTCCCGCAGGCGGGCGGACAGGCGGCATGCTGCGGATGCTGGCGTCCCGCTATGCAGGCGGGGGCGCACGTCCTGCCTGCGGGCTCCGCGACCCCGGCCGCAGCCTCAGCCGCCAGGCCTCTGAGGCCCCGCCGAACCAGCCCCCCAGCTCCGAGTTCATGGCCAGGCCGGTGGGCGTCTGCTCCATGATGCGGCTGCCGGTGCAGGCCTCCCCTGAGGGGCTGGATGCCGCCTTCGTCGGGGTGCCGCTGGACATTGGGACCTCCAACAGGCCAGGAGCGAGGTAAGGCCCAAGGGCTCGGGGACACATGGCTAGACAGCCTGAGGGCCACTGGGCACAAACAGGCGACTCTGCTCACCTCACCTGGGCTGGGGTTGGAAGCTGGTGTCTGGCCCCAAAGTGCCCCTAGTAGTTGGAGAGAAAGCTGATTTCCATTCTTCCTCATCAACCCGGAGGGCTGAACACGTGTGTCGTGTGTCATCCATTGGTAAAGAAAGGGAATTCAGAGCCCGGAGCCTTCTCCACACCCTGATCCCCGGTTATTGCTGGGATGATGGCTGGGGGTACCCCCAGTTTACAGTGGCAGGAGACATTACATCTGAGAACAGAAAAAGCTGGTTTCCCCTTCTCAAAACCTCTAGATGTCACCTGACTCAAGAATGGCTCCAATTAAGGTCATTTTGCTAAGATTGAGTCAGAGGAAGAAAAGTTCCTTTTCCTAATTACTGAGCTTCAGCTATTTCCGATTCAGCTCAGCAACATTACATTTGACTACTGGCCTAAATTATATTATAAATGCCACCATTTATTAAATGTCTAAGTGCAAGGCGCTTTGCATAGATGACCTCATTTAATTCTTATAACAGGGTTAAGTAAATATCATAATTTTTTTATAGATTAGGAAACTGAGGCTCAGGGAGATTAAAAGATTATCTAATGCCCGTGTAGTAAATTGGTGATGGGTGGGTTCCTAAATCTATGCCTTTAATCTCTTCAATATGTAGCCTGGATCATTGGTTCTCAACCAGGGTTATTTTGCCTCCAGGGGACATTTGGCAGTGTCTGGAGGCATTTTTGGTTATCACAACTTGGGAGAAGGGGTGCTACTGGCATCTACTGGGGACAGACCAGGGATGTTGCTAAACATCCTACCATACACAGGATGGCCCCCCCCAATAACATCTAGCTCCAAATGTCACCAGTGCAGAGGCTGAGAAGCCCCCACCCTTCACCCCCCCAGGCAGGACCTCTAAGCCTTGAGGGATGGTTCTTTCTCTTCCAGGTTTGGACCCCGACGGATCCGGGAAGAATCAGTGATGCTTCGGACAGTCAACCCTAGCACAGGGGCCCTCCCCTTCCAGTCCCTCATGGTGGCAGACCTAGGAGACGTGAATGTCAATCTTTACAACCTTCAGGACAGCTGCCGCTTAATTCAAGAGGCCTATCACAAAATTGTCGCCGCTGGCTGTATTCCTCTGACCTTGGGTAATGGCATTTTCAAGGGCCAAGTGCAGGTCTCTTCACTCAGGGTTTATTCGTCTTGGGCTGGAGTACAGCTGCTTCTCCAGGGCAAGCCACTGTGAATGTGGAGACAGTAGGATAGAGAACATTCTTAATTCACGTATTGGAACCCCTGGGGAGAGGATACTGAGATGTTGGGCTTCTATGACTGACAGGGATGGACTAGGACTAGCATTCGCCTCCTTGCAAAATTTAAGGGGTGCCGAAAAAGTCAACAGGATTACTGATTTTCCCCTTTTGCCTCGGGCTCCAATATGGCTCAACTGCAGTTACTGGTCCCATCTTTCTGTAAAATTTATCATGGTTTTGCATTGGTTTTGAGTTTTAAAAATATTACATGAAAATAGTATTTATCTTGATTACTGAGTTTTTTGGTATCCTTTAAATGTTGCATCCCTGCAAGCAGATGCCTCTCACCCTTCTCACCTTTGTCCCAGCCCTTGATCCCAGGCCTGGCGAAGTCTGCCATCAGGGGCTCAGAGTGACTTCTGAACTGTTTCAAGGACATTGTTTGAGGGACTTCGAGAGGAGGCCTGTACAGCGCGGTTCCCTCCTCGTCAGGGTCTACATCAATCTATTGGGCGGCTCTCCCTTTCTCCCCCCCCCCGACTCTGACTGCAGCATTTCTTTCTCTTCTGCTTCACAAATAGTTAAAATGATGTAGACCTTTTGCTAAATATCAAATTTATTTTTGCCAAATTTGAGGGCCTAGGCTGCAGAGCATAATGGTAAGAAGTGTGGTTTCTGGATGCCATGGTTTGGAATCTCAGCTCCACCTCTCACTAGCTATTTATGCTTCATTTTCTCACCTCTTAAATGGGAATAATAATTATGACAACACCTACCACATTATATTATGTGAGGGACATATAATGAAAGTGCATTCAAAACTCCCAGCATTGTGCCTGGCATATTTTGAGCTTTAATGAATGTTAGCTATTGTTTTGTTTGTTTGTTTGTTTTAAAGATTTTATTGGGGGATTGGGGAGTGAAACAGTGTTTGGGAATCAAGGAAGGGGAACAGACAAGTTGCTGTCCTTTTGTTTTTCAGTCTAGTTGTGGAAGACATCACTTCACTGGCCCATGTTGGTATTGTGATCATTGCGCTCTTCCTGGGTGAGGCAGATTGGTCACCAGCTATTGAATGGCTGTTCACAGCAGCTCACGGCAGCTCACACTGCCAGCTGCCAGCCACTCACAGTAGCTCACAGCAGCCCACTGCAGCCCCACTGCAGCTACACCGTCGCTGGTGACTCACGGCAGCCCAGCTCCAGGTCGAGCTGTTGTTCACCATCTTAGCTGTAGAGGGCACAGCGTCACTGGCTCTAATGTTGGATCCGAACTGGGGCCCTGCTGCTCAGAGCTGGTGTCCCAAGCCAACTCTAAACCAACACGCCACTGGGCCGGCCCTAGCTACTGTTTTTATTAAAAGTTATCACTACTTTTCTAGGTCTTTTCTAGCAATACTTTTCTAGGTCTGTGCTATTTAATATGGTAGCCACTAACTGCATGTGGCTATTTAAAGTAAATTAATTTTAAATTAATTATTTAAATAATTATTAAATCATTGTTGATTTAAATAAAATAAAAATTTTAGCTCCTCAGTTGCATGAGCCACATTTTAATAGCCCCATGTGGCTAGTGGCTACCATATTGGCTAGTGCATTTAGAGAGCATGTCCATTATTGCAGAAAGTTCTAGCAGACAGAGCTGTTCTGCGCATTTTACCTGTATGCTTTAAATTCACTTAATTTTTAAGAGACAATGTAACTTCAAACATCCAGTGGCCATTTCCCCACTGCCAAACAATATCTTATTTTTGCTGGGGTTATAGTTCTTCAGTCTAATAGAAAGGGTGGCAGAATTGGACAAATTGAAGATTATTCTGTGTAATACACGGTCCCCTAATCTTACCCACATTCCAGATGTCTCCTTTTTTTCTTTTTGCAGGTGGGGATCACACAATTACATATCCTATATTGCAAGCCATGGCAAAAAAGTAAGTCTCAAATATCTGGGCCCAAGCAAGGTTTCAAACTTCAGGAGCTAGGGAGTCAGTTGTTTGTTGCGGGATGGCATCAGGTGACCTCTGCTGGCTCGGGTTATTGGGGGCGATAGGAACTTCCCCAGTGAGTTGCTTCTGTGGATCAAAATGAAGGTTGGGCTCCAGGTGTCTCTGTCAGTCACCAGCTGGAAGCCAAGACAATTTATTATTAACACTTCTGCCTTGCCCAAGATCTCTTCTGGTATGCACGCTCAGCATTTGCCTCTGTTTTTAGAAGATGAGCCTCTAGTGAAATTTACAACCCCAGCTAACTTGTGGTTTATTTATTTATTTTTTGCTCAAAGGCCAAACACAAATACTGACAGTCACAACAGTGCTGCTCACTGAGGAGAGGCCTTGGTTCTTCCTGAAGGGCTCCTTTCCCAGAAAATGAGGAGCTGGGTTTCCTCATAGTGGAAGTCCACCAGGGATTGATTCACTTTGGTTAATTAGTTTGAGAAAGAGAGATGGGCCAAGGTGGTGGCAGCTCCAGAATTCATAGATGGGAAAAGACATGTGGGTAGATTTCTAATTTTGGGTGCGTGGGTCCAAGTCTTCTCGAAGCTGTGTTTGCCTAGCGTTGTTTTGGAGTGTATGTTTCTTTTGGGGGGCTAGCAGGGTTGATGGAGATGATAGTGAGAGAGCTGGGTCAAACCTGCTGCTTGGTGCCACAGCTGGAGACAAGGCGGCTCTGATTGGTTCAGCTGAGCTCACCCTTTGTTGTCATCCTCCCAGCTCTCTCCATCTCTAAGTGAAGAAAATTCTGGGTGATAGGCAGTGGGCGGCAGCTAAATGCATGTCTATTTTTGGCCTGCCTTCTCTGAGTTTATTGTTCTGAGATGCTAAGTCATTTGAAGACAGAAACCAGTTGCAAGGCCAGTAACTGATGTCAGGGCTCCCCTCCCTGGATGTGAACTGTCATCAAGTTTTGGTGGCCTGGAGGGTGGCTGTGCTCAGGGCCCATAAGGAAGTGTGGCCTCTGAGCCACCTTGTTGTCATCAGGCATGGCCCCGTGGGGCTGCTGCACGTGGACGCTCACACGGACACAGCCGACAAAGCCCTGGGAGAGAAGATCTATCACGGGACGCCCTTCCGCCGCTGCGTGGACGAGGGACTCCTGGACTGTAAGCGCGTGGTGCAGATTGGCATCCGGGGCTCTTCCATGACCGTGGATCCCTACAGATACAGCCGGAGCCAGGTGACAGACCGAACGCCCCTCCCACTGTCTTCTGCCCGCGAACTACCTTTCTCTCCATTGCCCACTCAGTGGTGGCTAGGGGTTCAATAGGGGCTCTAATAATCAACTTCAAAAAATGGGATGAAAGGCTGGGCTGGCATCACGAGGGCCGCGTGGAGCATAGAGGGGAGAGGGTGTTAGTTCATGAGGCGGAGGAGGCCTCTTGCCGGGGTGGGGAGGCAAGCAGAAACGAACTAACCTCTGGCTGTTGCTGGCTTGGAAATGAGCTGAAGAGGTCCAAACCCAAGGCGAGTGGCCGCCATCTTAGTTCTCATCCTCATACCCACTAGGCAGAGTGGCTCCCAGGTAAACATGTACGACTTTTAGAGCATGCAGTGGCCAGTCTTCTGGACAGAGCTAGTCAGGAGGTGCTGGCATGAGCTGTCCTGATTTTCTCACTCTTGCTATAGCCAGGCTGCTCTCTGATCCCATCTCCATAGGTCAGCTTTGCTTTGACTTTCTCCCTGCTTTTTTTTAAATTGGGTAACAGTGTGTTTTTCCCAGGACCCATTAGCTCCAAGTCAAGTCATTGTCTTTCAATCTAGTTGTGGAGGGCACAGCTCAGCTCCAAGTCCAGTCGCTGTTTTCAGTCTAGTTGCAGAGGAGGCGGGGGGGCAAAGTTGCAACCCACCATCCCATGCGGGAGTCAAACTGGCAACCTTCTTGTTAAGAGCACGTGCTCTAACCAACTGAGCCACCCGGCCATCCCTCTCCCTGCTTTGTTACCAGCCATCGTTTCTCCCTTCCTCACCTGGAAAATGGGGATAGTTCCCTCCTCATGAAGACTGAGGGTCAAATGTGACGTGCCCATCAAGAGCTTAGCATGGGGTTTGGCACATAAGAAATGCCCAGTAAGTGCTGCCATGCAAAGCCTTGACTTCCTGCCCTTCAATTCCTGCCTCCTCAGGGCTTCCGGGTGGTCCTGGCTGAAGACTGCTGGATGAAGTCGCTGGTTCCTCTGATGGGGGAAGTGAGGCAGCAGATGGGAGGCAAACCCATGTACATCAGCTTTGATATTGACGGCCTGGATCCTGCCTATGCCCCAGGGACGGGGACACCTGAAATTGCTGGTCTCACCCCAAGCCAGGTAAGGAGGCTCCACCAGCGACCATTTCTGGGAGTGAGGATGTTTAACTCCCTACTTTTCTGGGCCTTGTAGTGAGTCCTCGGGGGTTAGAATAGGATTTTAAAAGCAGGGCACGTAGGCCTTTACTGGGCCAACTGGAGGTTTGAATACTCACTTATTGATTTTAGCAAGGGCCCATTTCTTATCTGGGATATCATAATCCTTGACCTGATTTTTCTGCCTCTGGTCTACCTGTAGTCAGTTTATGGGGACAATATTGTAGTACACTAACTTGCGGTTTTGGGATTACATTTTAAAAGTGCACACAGCGGGATTAACCAGCTACCAAGGTAATTCAAGAGTTTTGGAAAATACCCAAATGAAGCTCTGACAGGGTGCGCTGAGCGTGAACCCAGGGAGGCAGAATTGGAGTGAGGTTATGAGTAGAAGGGAAGGTTCCAGGAGGCGAGGCCTTTGATTTGTTCACTCCTCTATCCTTGGAGCCTAGAACAGTGCCTGACAGATAAATAGTAGGGACTCACTTTGTGAGGAAATGAATGAAGACTGCTTGAACGTAATTATCTCACATTCTCTAAGAAAGGAGGATGGTCATTAACTGCTTCTTCGAAGCCATTCTCAGTTCCCATCAAGAGAGATTTCTGACACACAGTCCTGGTGCCTCAGCTCACCATCCTTCTGGGCTTCTCACCTGCAGAATGGAAACTCTTTGAGACAAAGCGACTCTCTTCCCCTCATCTCTGCTGTCTTCCAGCCACCTCTAACTACTGGCACTCCTTTCATCCTGGCGCCTTCTGCATGTGTCTTTCCCGTTCCCTCTGCCTGGGCTGCCCTTCCCCTGCTCATTTCTTGGTCGATTTCTTGAGCTAAGTGTTTCTACCTTGGGGCGGCCAGCCCCCACCTCTTCTGACTGTTACGTGTGCTTATACTATTCTACCCTGTTTTTCCTGAAGCCCTTCATTTGGCATTGGAATGATTGGTTTGCTTGTCTCCCTGATCACACTGTGGAGCCCTCGGGAGGAGGTGCTGTGCGCTGGTCATTTGTGTCTCTCTAATGCCCGCCGGTGTGCCTGGCAGTCCATAGATGTATACTGAGGGAAAGCAACAGTTCCCAGTCAGCAGGTGGGCATGTGTTAGGAGAAACCCACTGAGGCCTCTCCTGGTTGCTTTTCACTGGACATGCTTACCACTGTGGCTTGGTCTTGGGCAGGCTCTGGAGATCATCCGGGGTTGTCAAGGCCTGAACGTGGTAGGTTGTGACCTTGTGGAAGTTTCACCGCCATACGATCCTTCGGGTGAGTAAGCAAGAGACCTGTGATGTGTGGGCAGCTGCTAGTTGAAATGATATTAATCTAGTTAATAAGTACCAGTTAATAAGGGTCCTTCTGCGTTAACTCGGGAACCTGCTGAGTATGACCTACAGCGGAGAAAATACACCTGTGATTACACACCTTACAAACGGGAGCTAACGAGCCTAACAGAACCCCTGGGAGGCAGCTAAGTATTATGAGCTTGCTCACAGGTCCGCAAGAGAAAGAAAACAGCTCGCAGTTTAGAGACCGGGTGGCACAGCTCCATCCTCCTTTGAAATTTCATTGAAAAGTGAATTCTCGAAGGATAAATAATACTTATTAAAATTAATAAAGTGGAGAGTTAGCTGGTTTAGGAGAGCTATTTAGTGCCCATGCCATCCCAATAATTTTAATACAGAAAACCTTATAGGGTTAGGCCAATTAGTTTCAGAGCATAGATAATAAATACAACACACACACATTATGTTTTCCATTAGGGGAAAACCTGTTCTCAGAGAAAACAAAGAGCCTTCTGAATTTTAAAATACTATTTCTAAATGATGCTCAATGGAGCAGAATGCCTGGGAAAGCATGTCTGCAGGGTGATTGAACAGCCCCCCCTCCTCTGCCCCAAAAGTATGGAAGGCAGGATCCTGGGAAGGAAGCACAAAGTGAGGAAGGCTGAGGGGCCCTGAGAGGCTTGGTGTCTTCATGTTGGTTTTTACCTCTTTTATAGGGAACACGGCCCTCCTGGCAGCTAACCTGCTGTTTGAGATGTTGTGTGCTCTCCCCAAAGTGACAGTCGTTTGAATCTCGTGCTCTTCAAGATAAAACAGATTGCATCAATGACACATTTCCAAGAAGAATTTATGAGCAAGCAGTCTGAGTACTAAAGAGTTAATGCCAATAAAACTTTCTGCTGCAAGTGTCGCTTGCTGGTGGCTGTAAAATCAGGGCACTCAGTAGAACTCTAATCCAAACTGCTACTATCTCTAAGGCGTTTGAATTAACTTTAAAAACAAAACAAAAAACAAAACAAAACGGGGACCGGTTAGTTCAGTTGGTGAGAGCATGGTGCTGATAACACCAGGGTTGCCGGTGCGATCCCCACATGGGCCACTGTGAGCTGCGCCATCCCTAAAAGCATGAAAGCAATGTGTAACCAATGACCATGGCTGTTCCCCAATTAAAAAAAAAAAAAAGCGCTTGTGCTGTTAATTTTTTTCCTTTAATGAAAGATGGTGGAGGATAAAGGGGAAAGGGATGGAGAATTTAGTTCAAGGTTGTCTAAAAACTGGAGGAATGAAATAAAAGAAAGACTATAAAATAGCACGGCATAAACTTTCCACATTTCTATAGTATCTTCCTTTAAAATATAACTTCTCCTCTGAGGAGCTTGGGGCTGCATCTTGATTTCAGGGCCATCGGGAACATAAACAAAAAGTTTGCAAGGAACTCGCAGATCCTAATAAATTTCCCACTCACAAGCCCAGAAGGGTCCACGAAATGTCTCCGAAGCCAGATGACACCAGCTGGCCTCCAGAGAGCTCTTGATGACACCTCCTTAGCCCACTGCCTGCAAGCCTGTTTTGTGTCATCTACTCTTCAAGCTGACACACCCTCTGTGGCAACAGTCCCCGAAATCTGTAGTTAGGACGCGCTCTTAAGCACGCGCTGAGTTTCATGCAAATTGTTTTGTTGATAACATGTCCATGATCAAATAATCATCCCATAATGCAGGAGCTACCCGTAATCATCACACATTAAAATAGTTTATTTTTGTTTCCAGTTGGTAATATTCTTAAAACGAAAATAACATCAGCTTCAATGCCTGTTCACAATACAAAACACAAAAACAACATAAAAAAGACACCATTTGCCAAATAAGTTATTTGTTCCTAAGAGTATCAAAAGTGCAAAATATTCACCTTCTTTTCAGATCTGTCTCGAAAGTATAATTATTTTCCTTGACAAACTGAACAGAGATGCAGCAGCTGCCGCACTGCATTTGTTTTCCAAGGACAATGGCAGGTATTTGGATGTGAGCAATGTCTCATTTGTTCAAATGTTTTGCATCAGCTTTCAGAGAATTTTACTTTAAAAAAATTTTGTGGGTTTACGTCTAAGCCCATTTCCCAAACAAAGCAAATCACTTAAAACACATTCAGATCCCATTTTTCTTGATAGCAGGAAAACATTTATGTACTGAATGAGGAGGAAATCAACCTACTGTTTGAAAACTACAACCAAATTTTCATGGTAAGTGATGACAGTGAGACCGTGGTGTCTAATGGAAGTTGGGGCAGTCTTGTGCATTGAAATTGCTGCCCACCTCTCTGTTAGATAAAATTGTGCAACTGACACCCCAGCAATAAAACAATATTTTTCAAATGGGCATGTATTCTACAAAAACTTTTTTTTTTAAGGCCAGCTTTCATCCCCATCTGCTAAACATGATACATAGTCTCTATCAACCAGTAAAACCTGATACATAGTCTTTATCAACCAGTGAAACCTACCTAGAAATTCATCAATGTTGCCAAGATACATATATGGAAGACTAGGAGGTTAAAACCCAAACTGGGTCCGTGTGATTACAGACATCAGAAGGAGAAATGGTGGCACTGGCTGAGCATGATGATGGCTCGGGCATTTGACACAAAAGTAACAAATTAATGGGAACAGGATTCAGGAGGAAAAAAGTGGGTGATCAAGGGGAAAGTTCATTTTAAAAATAAAAGCTCCTTAGTGTCCTCTTGGGAGACAGATCTACCAGCCCCCAAAGAGGTCTGTGGAAGAGTTTTTGGACTGAAATATATGCCAGGAATGTCTTCAATCCTATTATCACTCTCCTTTCTTAGCACAAGTGGAAGGTACAGCTGTCTGAAGGTGCTTTATATTTTAATGATAAAACATTTTTTAAATGAACAAATCTGGGGAGTTTTGGTTTTCGGAAATTAAGGTCAGGAATCCCACTAACATCAGAAATTAAAAATGAAAACCTATCACTGAACCAAATCATACTCATATAAGCAACCTGGCCATAGACAACTCAGAGAATAATTTTGAAGATGGGTGCATCAAGCATCCAAATGAATTCTGGGATCTTTCTACCTGGCCAGGTGACGTGAGATATGGTAATCAGTAAGCATCCACTTTTAGAGGATCACGAGGCAAAATGAAGCCTGGTAGTGATTTATTTATTTTTTCCATAAAGCTATAGATTCCGTGAAAACTAGAGGAATTCCTGGCTCAAGTAATTTATGACTTGCTACTGTAGCTCAATATTTAAATTATTCAGGATCCAAATAGCTTAGTTTAAAGCAATTATGTTTAAAGAAAATACTACCTTATTTTGTCCCATCGCTGATTTTGACCCTTCACTTTACAAATTGCCTTTAAAGGGCAATTTGCTCTGAATTTGAACAGACCGCTCTTCGAGGTCGTCCAAATGCCATTGGTGGTTTTGCCCTGAAAAGAAAAGGTAAGCCCTCTAATTGGCTGGCATGATTCAGCCTGGAGTCCATCGTACGCTGCAGCTCAGCAAGCTGATGATAGGTCTGACCCTGTTACTAGTGAAGCAGCCGTAAGTTACGAGTGAAACAATTAAGATGAGACATCAAAATATAGGCCAGAAGCTCAAAGTTAAGCTTTTTGCAAAACAGGAGCCTAGAACAAGTCTTGGTTCACTTGTCACAAAAGAGAACTTGTAGATCCAGCACTTTTGGGGTAACAGTGTTCAAAATACAATTGTTAGGTTCCTTGATACAAAGACAAGTGTGGTATTTTACTAAAGAGACACCACTGGAGTGGGAGTGAAAAGGTTCCTTGAGCCTGACTCATGGCAGGTGGGAATAATGTGTCTTCAGTTGAACATCTACTGGATTATAGCAGCTTATCTCTACGTTCAGAGAACAAGATTAAAATTATGGCTCCTAATATCCATACCCTAAAACTCACAGAGGCAGAAAGGCATCCGAAAATGTAAACGGCTCACGTCATCACAGTACTTCTTGCGGCGTGGATCCTTCCAGGCTACATTTAGTGCTGGGGAGGCGGCTGGTGGGACGCTCACCAAGGGGTCCGTCCCTTCAGTCATTGCCCAGTCCTCCCTTTTCTTGCCTTGGGAAGAAAACCAAGCTCACACGCAGAACCCCCATTCATCCTAACCTTTTAAAACCATGGCTGACAAACTGCTGTAGGGGGATACCCCCCAAATGTACATACTTCAGCTACTTACTACCAGAAAAACCACCAAATGCATGATTGCTTGGAACCAGGCCCCTTTCAAGATGCGGGGCCTAGAAGCTGCGGTGGGTCCTCCACCGTTACAGCATGCACTGTGGCAGAAGCACAGCGGGCCGGGAGGGGGAGGGGAGGTCAATGGCCCAACCAGCGACCAGCACACCAGGCTCTGCGGGGTTCCGTCCAGGTACCGCCACAGGGTGAGCACCTGCGCTTCTCCCAGAGCCGACAGGACAGGGGAGGGCGCTGTGAGCTGGGAAGGGGACCACAGAGGAGGAGGAAATGAGCAGTCTGTTTCAAATAGTGCGGCATTCAAATGAGGAGAAAAAAACCCCAAAGGAAAATCTTTTGATCTAGGGAATTCAACTGGTGGTGTTTTTTACTCCTAGGTTAGAACAGGACAAAGGAAAGATTCTTCTAGCCATTGTTCTAGAAGAATCATCTAAAATCTATACTCTGTCCGTTGTGATAGTCTGAGTCCTGAAAATACCTGTTTGCAGGGGCCTGTTAAAAAGCCTGAAGAGTTTAAGTCTCTTTTTGAAATCCTCAGTCTAGTTCAGGCCAAGATGGGATATAAAACCTTTGTAAGGAGCCTTCCAACAGGCGTTCCATCCATAAGGACAACTTGCTCAATTTTCCTTTGATGGGCCTGGATCCAAGGCCACAGGAAGATTTCCCCCGAGATTCACCCAGATGGACTGGAGAGTCAAGACCGCCGCAGGCCCCCATGGCTTCCTCCTCTTCCACTGTTTTTTGGGGCTTGAAGAGGCAGAAGTATTTCTTGTGGCCATTCAGAGCCAGTACATAACCAGTGTAGTCCCGTTCCATGAAGTGCTTGTCATACTGGTTTGGGATCGGGGCTGCATCTTGGGCAAATTCTAATAAGTACTCGAGCCATTCTCTGTGTTTATCTAGACTTAGGAAGGAGAAGTGTAGGCAGCTGCTCCTGTAAGAAGAGAAATGAGGATTTAGGGTAGTTCCTGACGCATTCAGTTGCAGGGAACAGAAATACCTCAGTCAGACTTCAAATAATAGGAAGGGGCTGCACATCAGAGGGGCCAGAATGTAGGAAAAACGTGATGGATTTCTGTGATGGCTTCTATAACAGCTGCAACACTTTGCTCATCCATTTCCCCGTCCCTTGCTGGCTGTCCCTTAACGTCACTCTCAGAGCTATGGAATAGTTTCCCGAAAGGGCTCAGGGAAGAACCAACAGGACATGAAGTCAACGGGGTGAAAAAGGTCCTTTCGTGACGGCTTAGGTTTCTGGGTTAGAAAGGTCACAGCCAACCTCTCGCTGCACAGGTAAGAGGCAAGGATGGGCTTTTCCTTCCGTCCCCTCCTTACGCAAATGCACATGCTCTCTGCCCTTCTTTCTCCATCTCTCGCTCACACACTCGAACTTACCCGGTGAACGTGTAAACCTCCAAAGCGAATTTCTGTAGCAGGCTGGTCTTGGTGGAATTCGACAGGATAAGGACCACGTTCATGTGGCCTGGCCTCAGGCGCACCAAGTTACTGGTGTACGTCACATCCGTAAGTTCAGTTACCTCCACGAAGCCTTTTTTGGGAATCTTGCTGTGGAGAAACAGTGAGGAGTTAGGCTGTTATCAGGGTAGGAGAATGCCATTACTTTTAAAAGGAACGAGTGGAAGAAAATGCTATGCTCTCATCAGACTAGATGTGTGATTTAATGTTCTCGAGCCTGATACACTGGCAGGATGGGACGGTCCTGATTTGGCAAGCCCAGGCCTACAAAGAGCCATTCAGTCGGCGCAGAAGCAGCTTTAGGGCAGGATGAAGGTCACCGATGCTTATGGTGACCCATCGCTCTCTGCTTCTGGCTCATCTAGCATCTCTGACATGTGTCTTTGCTTCCTGCCCTCATTATTAAATCTGGGACTGAGAAACCACTGGTGCTGAGTAGAAGCAGGTCCAGTGTCTAAACGCCTAGAGGGTCTCAGTGAACACGAATCAGCGGTGACTTCTCCCTATGCCTGCATCTCACGCACAAGGAGCTGAACCAAAGTTCTTATATACACCACGCAGTCAAACGCTGCTTTATCAGACCACACAGACCGTGGGGCTGCTGCTGAGGGGAGGTGGGTTTGGTGTTTTGTTCGAGAAACCTGCTGTTTTCTTTGGTGAAGCTGGGCTCCGTCTTCCCGGCTTTCTCCTGGGCT